GATCTGAACATAAATTTTATTAATCTTTCCACTTTGTTTAGCTTCCAATGGAGTATACATTTTCATCATGCAAATTATCTCTCCTGCAGTGATGTCTCCCACCTCTACCTAATGGAATTCAGCTCATCCTGTCTTACATTGTCCACTGTTTTTTTTTTCTTTTTAAAGTGCATTTAAGAATTTTACTTTTTTTCCAAAAGAGACATCAACAATCTGTTGATCGCTCTTTCCCATGGGTAGAACATCCACAAGATCAGCAATCCTCACCTGAAATCTCCTGCTGTAAACTTTGCCTCAGCAAGTGAAAAGGCAGCTTCTCTCATCACCTCACCCATCAGCATCTTAGTCTGTAAAAAAAAAACAAAACAAAAAAAACCAAAAGGCAGCAAATAGAAGGCACACCATTACTCCTTTTCCAGGATAAATAACAGCATCAAGAGAAGAATGAGAAATTTAAGAGAGTGATAAAGTCCTGTATGTGTAGCTTACTCTCAAACTTCAAATCGTCATTCCCAGGTGACTAGCAAAAGAAGAAATATTCCAGCTGTTTCACTGACCCAGTTTAGGACTCGCAGAAACAGCGAAAGACTTGTTTGTCTTAATAACCATAAAATTCTACTACATGGGGGTTAAATCACTCTTAACTTCATATTGTACTGAATGCTATGAGACAGCTTGACGTTGGTTTTCAACATACAGATATATGTGGCTTTGTGAACCTCCACTCTCCTCCTACTCCATTTTTTCCCAGTTTTTACACATTTGAAGCCCTTGTAGCTAAAAAACATGCTATTGAGAAGCAAGAGTCTTTCTGTACTAGACAGTCTGTAGGAAACAAGAGTGCCAAGAGCTCGTCTACAGCCTGGTAACAAAGCACTGCTGCTAACCACGGATATCATAGCAGTGGCAGCCAAAACGGTACAACTAAAACCCATCCAGTATGGTAGAACAGAACAGGCTGTATTAGGCTCTACTGCATATTTCAGATTTTTCATTCACGTGGAGAGGAAAAAAGCAGGACTCGATGTTTCTTCATAAAGGAACAAGTTCCATCTGGACAAAACTTCTGCTTTCTAGTGTACCTAGTCATGCAAGAAACATTAGAGAGCTGCAGTATCCTCTCAAGCCAGATAGACAGAGCAACAAAATGGGGCTACAGAACATGTTAAATCCACTCCTAAAGTATGTGGCAGCAGCAGAGCAAATTCCCTGTAATGTAGAAAAGATGGTGGGGAACTTGGGACACAAAAGAAAGCAAAGCCTAGGCCTGGTTGGAAAGAGGTGAAGAATATTAACTGTTACAAAATTTCTGTATCACTGCAGCCAGAAAAACATTCTGCTCATCTGTCCTCAGTACCCTCGCTTACAAAAACCACGTTATCCACAAAGTTGTCCTACATTCCAGCCTACCTAAAGAAGTTAGCAGAACAGGAATGCACAACTGACAGAACAGACAGGTTTTAAATGAAGTGAGAAAAATTCTAATTTACCTACCTCAATAATTTTCTTGAGGATCTGCCTGAACCGAAGCGTCAAAGCATCAGATTTTTTCTTCAAGAGGTTACGACCTGTTTGGGCTCCTTTCAAACGAGCTTTCATGATGGTCTGAGCCCTGTTAAACAGAGGAGTAAATAAAAATGTCCTGCATCAGCTGAAGGGATTAGAAAAAACTTATGCGAAGTTTTCTGATGTGGACATGACTGAAATTTTGAAACAACCAAGAAACATCAATGCAGTAAAACAGGATGGCCACTTCAGCATAGAATTTCATATTCCCATTTAAATGGGAATTTATTATATTTATCTGCATCATCAATGAGAATTACATGGTTATCATCTGCAAAGTCAAAGATCATGGAAAATTTGCGAGTCATTTTTCAGCGCTTCCATAATAGGAAGTAAGAGTTTTCATTTTTCTTGATGAGTTAACAAGGACCAGAAATGCACCAGAAATCAAACTACCCCAAAAGCCCACTGTCAGTGTGACACCGGTACTGCTTTTAAGCTCTTTTACGGCTACGTCATCTTCCCAAAATCAGACAACACAGCAAATTCTTCCTGTGATCACATATGTTGATGCTGTATTCTGATCTTACAGAGCAACAAGACAGAGTAGTTGTACATTCTGGTCTAAAGAAAGTTAAAAAGTGCAATGATTCCATACCTTTATATGCTGCACGAGAGATTTACAAGCTATTTAAGACAATCAGAAGTAGCATCAGTTTAAAAGGGATATTAGCAAGCTAGCTTGTAGCATTGTATATCCTTACTTCCAGTAGCACGCTTACACATTTCTTGTACGGAATTAGGAACTGAAGAAGGATCCAAACTTTGCTTCCCTCTCTGCTGTGGAGTGTATTTCAATTTGAAGAATCTTTTTGATTTAAGTTAACTAGAATAGCAGGAGCTCTACTACCACAAAACCAGCAAGCTGCGCTAACTTAAGCTACCACTTTGTATACTCAGCCACTACACACAAAGGACAATACTCAAGCCAACTCTGTGTGCAGAGAAGCCTTATACACTTCCTCTCTGACCCTGGAAAAAATAAGTATAATTAAGATTCTACCTACGAAGTGGAATCCATTACTTTCCACACCTACTGGCATGTGATGAGAATAGCTCCGTTAATATCTACCACATACTCATAATGGAAAAGCACAAATACTTTCTGAATGTTTATGATTAAAGAAAACCCAAAGTCAAAAGGTAAAAAGGCAGCTTTACTTTCACAACAAGCAGGTCTCTGTCACCACCTTGAACTGGCTTGTTTGCTTTGTTCACAACCTGCCAGAGCCTGGCTGACCTTCTAGTTCAAGCAAGATTTCACAGGCTCTGAGAGTGCATTAAACAAAGTCTTGTTTACTGTCAAGGAGACTGAGCAGCTTCTGTAATTGATCACATCCAGCACAGAGGAGGCTCATACCAGCAAGCCGCTTCATAAAGATAAAAAAGCAAAACAAAAAAAACCCAAACCTGGTCAAATTCTGTTGTCAGTTAACAAAAAAAAATTGTTGCAGAGGCAGGCCATCTTTATTTTACCATCCTACCTTACATTCCTATCAAAACATCAGCCACATTACTGGTCTATTACCTCATTTGAAGCGGGGCTCGTAAATGTTAAGCCTTCGTACATCACCACCTTCTTGCCACAATGACACTTCAGCCCACAAAACCAGATACCTTTTCAAAGTGACCAAAGTGCCTCCTCCTTGGACATGTAAAGTCAATGAAAAGAGGACTGTTGAAGAGCAGGAGTGAGACCAGTGGCTTAGTATATGCAATAATTTATTTCTGACCTAAGTTTCAAAACAGAACCTTTACCATGTAATGTATTAATCCTTCCATATAAACTGTTACTTCATATGTCCTGAGCTCACGTATGAGAATAATTATTATTTTACATTTGAGGTTTTCTGTCCTGCAAGGCACCTCTTTATAAATACTACATCCAGGCATCAACCCAATTTTATGCAAGAAGATTTGAAACGGCCTTTCACCTTAAGGCAAAGTCTTTCTGTCCTGGAGGGTTCTGAAGAGAAACTGAACGGCATTATTAAAACAGCGGGTTTATTAGTAGATCAGTTTCAATCGTTTGTGTTTGTTCCCACTTTGGCAACTATCTAAACCTTGTCAGGAGACATCTGATTTCATGACAAACTGTTTGCTGTCAGGATCTGGAAAATGACTTGACTGTGCACTGCACTTTACGCATTGTACTTCCTCCTTATTTTTTAACACTTTGTGACCAACCTCTCGTACGGCAGTATTGGCTTTTAAAAAGTGAAGGGAAGCTGTGGTTCGATTTGTGCATTTTTTCTTATGCATACATTCCACAAACTGCTCTTTTTAAAATCAAGGTTTGTGTAATTGCATGATTTTAAATAGCCGCCCGGCTGCTTGGTACTGGGCCCCGCAATGGCCCTCTGACGGCTCACAGAGCTCATTTTGAGCCTGGAAAGGGAAACTGAAGAGAAGCTCTAACTGCGGCCTTCAACCGCCCACCCACAGCCCGGCGGGAGACCCTCCTCGCGGGCGCAGAGCCCCCGCGGCAGCGGCAGGTTCACAATCGCCAACACCACTTCCAGCGCCGGAGCCCAGATGGGAAG